GGCTAGTTCAATAAATTAAAAGTTTAACTTCCTAATCTAGTTTTTCCTCTTGTGTCAGCACTCTGTAGTGCTGACTGAGGAGAAACAAGAAACTGAAATAGCAAAATTCAGCTCATCCTCCTCTCATGTGATCGCTGTCAGATATTTGGTTCACTGACGGTTTAAAACCACCGTCCTTCAGCTGTCAGGTTGGAAATAAATGACATTAACACTTACATTTTGTAATAAAGGTGTCGTCTCGCAGTTCTCTCTGCTTCCGACGTCGCCATTAGAGTAAAACTCCGAGCGCGAATCGCGGTTGATGCTCATCTYGATTGAAACTGTTAAAAAGAGTTCACAGACGGAGCCGGTGTTCTGACGACCTGTGTTACCTCGTCAGAGAGCGTCGGAACACCGGGTCAGACACAAGCGCCGGCAGCCAGCGGGACGAGGGGAACCCGGAGTCCTTCGAAAAACATTTTCTCCTCGAGTCACTTTTAAAGTCTTCTCTTATCAGTTAGTCAGCTGCTCACTGACTGACTGAGATGTGTTGTTGATAACTCGAGCCATGATTCGAGCCCCCTTCTTCTTCTTTTTGTTTATTGGTGGATTACMAACAACTTCCAGGTGCATACCGCCACCTACTGTACAAGAGTGTGCAACTCCACAGCCTCCACAGTCACTTTGGTTCCCAAAGTTGGGCTTGGAACCCAATTATGGGTCATGAAGCACCTTGGATAATCTCCAGAAATAAATTTAAAGGGTAATAAAATAATTGCTGATGTAATAGTTTCCCTATAATTATTACAAAAACACAAAATAAGTATAAATAAGTACTTATATTTGTGTACAAGCTGTTTATATTGTCAAAAATCCTGTGTTTTTAGGGTTATTAATGAAGCTCATGTACTCAGACCAGTAATATTTGGGGTCACAAGATTTTGCCATGGATATTTTGTGGGTCAGAAGACAAAAAGCTTGGGAGCCACTGGTCTAAATTCTATTTTTTAATTTTGTATTATGTAAAAATTTAAATAACGCTTTCCTAATATCTCTTATTTCTTCTGCATTCCCTTCTGCTCCCAAAATTCCTTCCAAACTCCATTGTCGCTCTGCTTCTCTAGTTTTCTTTAGCTTCTCTCTTTCAACTGTATATATTACACATTTCATATGAATATGTTCTACATTTTCTTTTTCTCCACAACCCTCACAGTTTTCGTTTGCCCCTTTTCCTATTAAATATAAAAAGTCATTCAGCAGTGTATGACCTACTCTTAATCTTAACATACTCACTTCTTCTCTTCTATTTCTTTCTCCAAGGTTCTTCGTCACCACTGATTTTTGTATTTTGAATAGATTTCTCCCTTTCCTGTCTTCATTCCATCTATTTTGCCAAATTTATATTTCTTTCCTTTTGATTAATGATTTAGCCTCTCCTTTCCCAAAAGGGACCCAAACTGTTATTTCACTGCTTAAGGCTTTTTTAGCCAGTTTATCAGCAGCTTCATTTCCCTTTACCCCCTCATGTGCTGGCACCCAACAAAACTGTACATCTGTCACCTCTGTGCAACCTGAACAAACTGTGCTGAATTTCTAATACAAGATCCTTTCTGTTGTTCCCTTCATGCTGAATACTGTATTACTGCCTTTGAGTCTGTGCACACCACTCCCCTATCTGGTCTCACTTCCTCAACCAGTTGCAAACTAATGATTACTGCTATCATTTCAGCTGTAAATACTGATCTGAAAGTCGTTTTGAAATGCATATTTGAAATTCTGGAATATACACCCCTATTCCCACACTCCCCATTGTGTTCTTTGATCCGTCTGTATAAATTTTTAGGTAACTGTAATATGAATGTCTGATATAAACACTTGTTTTAACCCCTATTTCATTTAATTTCCATTCTTTTTTCGTTTCCAGTATGTACTTGTCTGCTTTTATCTGTGGGTATAACCATGAAGGATTAACACTAGTTGGATTAATCTGTGCAAATGCCCCCTTCTTCTTCTTGTCAGATTTATGGCGGTTGGCAACAAACTGTTAGTAGCATTACCACTACTTACTGGTATGGAGTGTGGTTCGTGATGGTTTAAATATTTATCCTCATCTATACTGTAAATCCATATATTCTATCATACATTCTATCTAAACATACACTCATACATTCACACTTAATACATACATACTTATGCCCAACTTTGTATATCATGTCTTCATTCACAAACACACTTACTATAATTAAATTCTATGAAATAATTTAGTTTTCTTTAGAAATCAAATAATTATTTGTATATGTTTACTCCCTAAATTCTTCCTCAATATATCTAATAAATTAACCTTCTCCTTAATACTTTCAAACTCTCTCTTCATATATCTTCTCTCTATTTCATATTTATGGCATTCTACTATAACATGTTCTATGGTTTTGTAGCAATAACTTGGAGTGGAATGTAATGCTCCAAACTCTGGCCATCACATGACTCTGCCCATGTTTACAAGAGAAC